GTAGTATATGGGAGCAGATTTCTTTTCAATGCTCTTTTTCATTCTTTTCTTCTTACTTCAAACATTCACGGACAACATACATATATAGTAGTTTGAAGAAAACTCTAGACCACTAATTATTTCAACTACTAACCACTTTCTTCCTAACATCTAACTAATAACAATTAATTCAACTAATTCCAACTTATTCTAGAATGTGCATTATTAATTTAACAAGTGTGAAGTTTCAATGTATGTATGATGATGCCCATGGATCAAAATACTCTTTGTGTGTGTGTGTGTGTGTGTGTGTGTGTGGTGTTTTTGATATCTAGGCCTAAATGGTAGGTGCTCGGATCATATTTGGAAGATGAATGTGTCTACAAATGATCACGGTCAGTTGGACGTTGTTATTCTGTAATGTTATTTAAGGTCTGCTATATTCCATTGTTTCTGTAAAAAATTGTTGATCTTCTGAGTTGAAAAGGGATTTATTTTTTTTTTTAATTTTTTTATTTGGTACTTAACATTTACTTATATTTTGTTTTCCCAAATTTATCAACAGCCTAGGTGCAATATCCGGAAATGGACACACGCACAATTTTTTGGTGAGAGATTAAAGGCGAAATCTGGATTCCTTACACGAGAAAACCAAAAATAAAGAGCTACTCAAATAATAATAATAATAATAATAATAATAATAACAACAATAATAATAATTTTATTATTATTATTATTATTATTATTATTATTATTACTAGTACGAATCCCGTGCGATGCACGGGTAATAGATATTCATTAATATTTATAAATTAAAATTTTAATTAAACAATATTTATAAATTAAAAATATATAATTAATATGTAATAAAATTTACTTATATTAATTTACTAAAAATGTTATGAAATTTAAATTGTGCAAAATTAAATAAAACATGTTCTTGGAATATTACGGCGTTCGATCCAAACTCAAGGCATTGGCCTTCGGATTAACGTTAATTTAATTCAAATTAAGTAAAAAATAAGAGAAAACCGAAAATTTTGCTCCAATACTCAAAATTGTTCGTGAGAAGAATCAGAAGAGAAAATAGAGATTGTGATCCACAATATTCATTTAATTCGAGAAATTCATTTGTAAAATACTTTTCGTGCTTATAAATTCGATACACAAAACTTGTTGTTACACATGTCTATTTAAAATTAGTACACAACCTGATGCGTATAAGTGATAATAAATTACATTATATTTATTTCGAAATAAGTGTCATTTTAAAATTTTTACTCAGAAATTCGATTTGACTACAATGTGATTCTATAAAATAAATATTTTGGTAATTATTTTATCACATATTTAATAATATATGTTAATA